TTTGACTAAACCAAGGGGGAGTAAAGTGTTGGTATCTATTGTTGCTGACCTGATGTTGTTGTTTGGTTATTTTAGCCAAAATTTGCCAAAGGGGGAGATTGTTAGTTCCATGATTCTATGATATAGAATTGTCCATGGTTCTATGATTGGCAAAATTTTGGTAAAACATGATTCTACACTGATGACAAGTAGGATGATATAACATCTCTATCTGCTGTGGTGACAGAACTGCTGTGATGTGTTTTAATGTGAATGTCATGTTGAATGTCGTGACATCCATCTGCTGTCATGACAGAACTGTTGTCATGTGTTTTTAAACAGGATGTCATTACCTGGTGCAGTAGGAGCTGATGACAGTACTGCTGTCATGTGTTGACATCGCTGTCTGGTGCAGCAAGAGCTGATGACAGAACTGCTGTCATGGATGTCATGACATCGCTGTCTGGTGCAGCAGGAGCTAGCAAGAGCTGATGACAGAACTGTTGTCATGGATGTCATACTGAATGTCATGACATCAATGTCTAGTACAACAGGGGATGCTATGTTATATCTCTTGACAAAAGTGTTTTGGTCCTGTTTGAAATTCCTCATCAGTATGTACAGACCAAAGCGATTCATTAGGAACAAAGTGCAGATTTAATTGGTGTTCGTAAAAAGGATTTTTGAGACTTTTTAGGAAACCATAATATGCTTGTTTCTACTATTGTGAAGAAGATTTTGCAGGAGTGTTCAGCAGGGGGAGTCTGGTCAGCTAAGAGTAAGTGAAGCTAAATGTCATGACTGAATGTTATGACATTGATCGTATGACATCAGGCGTGCAGGGTTTGTTTTTCTATTATGATACCTGATATATCTCAGGCTAAATTTCAGGAAACCTGTTATGGCTTCTAAGTTATCTCAGGCAAGATTCTAGTCAGGGTTGGACATAATATGAAGCAGCTGTGACCTAAATTGACAGCACCTTGAATTATGGAAAGTGGTTTAACCAAGTTTAACCTAAAGTTTGTTACTTGTGACCAGCCTAAGCCCAGTCTGCATTGCTATAAAAGGAGGAGCAGAAACAAAGGAAATCAAGCACTCGCATCAAGAACAACTTGAGTTTAAAATAAAGGTCTAGGGTTTGAGGGTCCCTTGTGTGTGTAAGTCACCGTTTGTATCTTTTGATACATTGTAGTAGACATATTTGTGAGTGAAGAGTTGTGCTCTTCATGTGTGTTGTGTGAGTGAAGAAGTTTGGTTCTTCACGCGTGTCTAGGAATACTTGTACACCAAGCAACTGTATGATGCATTGCTTAGGTAGGTTCTAAGTTGTTGTGTCACTCAAAGCTTTTAAGCAAGAGTGTGTCTCACTTGATCAAAGTTGTGAAGCAAGATCAAGGTGAGTTTTTGGAGTGTATCTCCATAACTATTTTGTAATTGTGAATTGTATATCACTGCGGTGATTGTGGGGGAGTGAGTGGGTATACTCTTGTCTAGTGGTCTCTAGGCAATAATTGCATTGGGTAGAGATTAAGTGAGGAGTTGCAAAGTGGTTTGTTTGACTCTGAATTGATTATGCTAATAGTGGATTTCCTTCCTGGCTTGGTAGCCCCAAGATGTAGGTGAGGTTGCACCGAACTGGGTAAACAATTCATTGTGTTATTTATCTTTCAGCATTTACTATTCTGCACAATTTAAATGTTTAGATAAATAGTATGTCAGTCTGCAGATGTTACAACAGACGTCATGACGTTGGTCATGACTTTGGTACAATTTGAAGAAATTTAAATTGGTCATGGTCTGTCCTCGTCCTTGTTGAGCAGAGATCAATGTGCTTAGGACATATGAGATCTACATACCAGAATTTCAATCAAAATGAGCTAGATGGTTGCCAGATTCTTTCTACTGTCTATGTTTATCCTATTGTGATCAACTCTAAAATCATCTCTCAAGCAATATATTTTGAAGAAGATGGAGTTACTAATGAAAATTATGGACATAACAATACATTTAAAGAAGGCCCTTCTATAAGCCCTTCTACTCTTATTTCTATGGCAAAAGTACGGTACTAGATTATGGGATTCAATCTAAGGCCTAGAGAAAAAGGATCAGGATGGCTTTCTACTGATGATAAACATTTCATTCTGCTCCTGGTCTCCAGAGCTAAAATCAATCCGCCTCAAACTATGTTCAATTATCTGAAATAATAGGTCCTTACATTTCGTGAGGAATTATACTTTCTCATTCCTTTTGGTAGGGTTCTTTCAAAGATTCTTGATCAACAGGGTGTTGTTGCTCATATGTAACGATCTGGGTTGGTTGACAAACTGGTTCCTGACTGGTGTTCAGAAATGAATTCTTCAGAAACCATTATTAACCACTGAAGTCAATTTTTTTCTTTCTGTCTTTTTGTTGATGAAAAATGGGGAGAATGGATTAAATATTCTTCTTGGTTATTCCTGGATTGAAAGGATTAATTATTCTTCTTGGTTGATCCTAGAGTGAACTTAGTTATCGCATTTAAGGGGAAGCTTACAAACCTCACTTCTGGAAGTAGAGTTAAATTATTCTATATATATATAGAGAGAGAGAGAGAGCTTACAAATCTCATCTCTTAGACTTTACAAATAGGACTCATGGGGAGCTTATAAACCTCACCTTTAAGACTGTTTGATATAGGGGGGCTTACAAATCTCAAACCCTGAAAGTTGTTAAATAATCAATTATTCTATATAGGGAGAACATACAAACCTCGTCTCTTAGACTTGACAAATAAGACTTAGTGGGAGCTTATAAACTTTACCTCTAAGACTGTTCGACACAGGGGGGACTTACAAATCTCAGACCCTGAAAGTTATTGAATAATTAATCTACAACTAACTATTTTAAAATACTTAAGGTTGTCATCATCAAAATTGGAGAGATTGTTAAGACAAATTTGGTTCATACCATGTATCCTCTAAGGTTTTAATGATAACAGAGTATTTGAAAAACAATTAGAATTTTTAACTAGTTGGTTCATGTGTACATAATTATATTTACTTGATGAAATTGGTTCTGACACAGAAGTGGCTATGGTTTGGTTACTGCTAGTACACTTCAGAATCAGAAGCGTGCTATGGCTGCCTCTAAAACTAAGTAGTGTCAACTCAAGCTCTGTAAACAAGAATTGTTTGCATTATCTTCAAAAGGTTATGTTATACTTGTTTCATAGAAGTGTTCTCCGGACAAAGGCCTTGTTCAATAGATAATTCTCTGTTTACGAGTTTCAACACCTGCTTTATTGGAAAAGAAGATGTACTAGAAGACTTTATCTGATTATAGCCGTTGAGGATGGTTCAACAACTATATTTCTTCAGCTATAAAAGGAGCAGAAGAACTGAAGATCAACTCAAGAGAATAACGTTGCAACTTCAACTGAAATATACACGCATTTCATTCATATCAGCTCAAGAGAAGCTAATTTGTTAAGAGTTCTTATTCTTGTATAGCTTAAGAATCCTTAGTGTTAAAGTGTGTTGCATTATATTTAAAACACCTCTGATGGACAATCAAATGTTGTTGTAAGTTATTCCTTCTCTAACCAATTAGTTTAGATAAAAGTCTCTTGCCTTGGGTTTGAGCAAAGAAGTCTTGGATTCGAGGAATCTAAGTAAGAAGTCTTGGACCAAGGGTCTGAGTAAAGAAGTTTTAGGCAGAAGGTATAGGCAAGAAAGTATTGAAATAAGAAGGGTTTAAGCAAGGAAAGTCTTAAGATCTGAGGATCTAAGTAGTGAAGTATTGATCAGATACTGATTAAGCAAGGAAGTCTTAGGTTGTAGGTATGAGCAATGAAAGTCTTACACTTGAAGGTATAAGCAGTTGCAATTTGTTTGATTATAGTTGAAATCTCTTGCGAGGCAAGGGGACTGGACTACTCTCAGTTGAAGAGGAACCAATATAATTGTTGTGTTCTTTGCCCTTTTTATTTACTTCTGTTACATTATTCGTTGCACTTGCTATCAGTTTCTGAACTCTGGTTCAGAAGTTAAAACGATTTGGAAAATACAATTAAACCCCCACTTCTTGTGTATTTTTCTCACCTTCAGTGTAAACATCAACCAACACAATTGCCCTTTGGTTCAATTTCAAACACTTCTCTGTGACATGCCTAGGAAATTCCTGAAACAAACACATATTAACTCAAAGTATGGTCAGAATAACAATAATCAAACTATCAGACAACCATCAAAACAATACACATACTAGAACACTTTTGCTGCAAATATATCCAAATGATATTTCCTTTGTCCATTTGAATTCAAATTTTAGAACTTCATCTTCATCAAAACTATAACACAATCAATACGCATGATTTATATACATATATTTCCTTGAAATAAATTGCACATTATTCTTAACATATATACAACATATATATCATACATGTAAAGATATAATCTATCATATTAACATTTAGACACATAACACCTAATTTTTCTTACCTGCTACCTTCCGATGATATCGATATGTGCCGTATTTTAGACGAAGACCTTCATTACGATTCAAGTTTCATGAAAAACTCCACACACAAGTTATTAAAATTTTATGGATACCAACATGCAGCCTTCAATTTTTATTAATCATATTTTCTTCTTTTACAAATATTAAATATAAACAAATACGCCGTCACCTACTTGAATTGTCTTTTATTTTGATTTTTACACTATTTAATTTGTAAATTGTCTTTTATTTTGATTTTTACACTATTTAATTTGTAAAACCAAATCCTCTCATAACATGCATTTTCCATATCAGCAGCAAATAATCATCACATATCTCTCTACCAAGGCATCCAAGTAGATAGGCTTATCCATCTTCATCCACGTGGCATCCCATAAACAAGTTTCTAAATCTTCAAAAAATAATGACAGTTTGCCACGTGTCACCTAAGATTAGATTCCATCAACAAACATGACACAATAAGATATCAAAAAAACCAAAGTGCGTCTGTCATATTTGGATCACACAAGAGGAAGAGAATGGCTTCTCTTGCTAGTTTCGCTTCTGTTCAACCAGCTTCTCTCAATGTTAAGGGTCTTGCTGGTAGTTCCCTTACCGGAACTAAGCTTGCTTTCAAACCCTCTCGCCAGAGTTTCAAATCCAAGAATTTAAGGTAGTTTTTCCACAAGTTTGAACGAATTAATATTCATGTTATGTTATGTGTTGTTTTTTGGTTGTAACATAATTGATTAACATGTAGGAGTGGCTCTGTGGTAGCAAAGTATGGTGACAAGAGTGTGTACTTTGATTTGGAGGACATTGGCAACACTACAGGTCAGTGGGATTTGTATGGCTCAGATGCACCATCACCCTACAACCCTCTTCAGGTTTGTCTCATGAATTTTGGATATGGAACTTAATTAAGTGCTTATTTGTAAGCTGTTTGTATAACAAAATATAAAATAAAGTCAAACCGTTTTCATATGCTATCCTAGAGAGAATTTATGAAAATAAGCTAAAAACAACTTCTTAACATGTTATAAGCTTTCAATCCATGTTCTTAACATGTTATCAAGAGTTTGATTTAATATCCAGTTGGTCACGTGTTATCAAGTTGGGGGCAATTCTCACCCTACAAGCCGATTTTGTAGGGATGTTTTAGGCCTAAATCACATTTCTTAACGTAACATGTTATAAACTTTCAATAAGCTCATACGAATAATCTTACAAGTACTTATGTTAGTAGAGAGACTCAAATAAAGCGATTCAGACATGGTCTTAATATAAGTTCACTTTAAGCCTTTGTTGGGCTATAAATTATGAATTCGGATTCCCTACGATCAAGGATTCTCCGCATTCATACATTCTAGATGTTGGTGGTTGTTCGATCAAGATCATACGCTCGATATTCAAGCTCGGTTTTTTGAATTATAAAACAAAATTTAAAATCTCCGTCTTTTGTGCCATATGATCGTAATCGAACGGCCATCGATGTTCTGAATTTGTGAATGTAGAGACTTTATATGAAGTGTGTTTTTTAAAGTTATGCACACTTAAGAAACTCGTTGTATGCACTAATTTCTATAATAAAACGTGTTTGATTTATTTGATTGAAAATGCACAAACTTGATCTCTTTCTTTTGTTGATACCGATTTCGGCATTGCAGAGCAAGTTCTTTGAGACATTTGCTGCACCATTCACAAAAAGAGGACTATTACTCAAGTTTTTGATACTTGGAGGTGGTTCAACTCTTGCATACCTCAGGGCCACAACCACAGGTGACGTTCTACCAATCAAGAAAGGTCCACAGCTTCCACCAAAGCTCGGTCCCCGTGGCAAGATCTAATTTAGTTTCCGAATTCAATCCGTTTACTTTTCTCATTTTGAAACCGAACATGTATATCTATCTCGTATCGCATGATGTGTAAGTATGATTACATCTTACTTCTATTCAATGATGCTTATTAGTTATTTTCGATCTATATATACAACGTCATTGCCGCATTTTTTGGTTGAATCAAAAATAATTATGTCTACATAAAAATTATTACCACAAATCAATACATTGTGGTATAATAAAAAATTCTCAAGTTGGTAGCTACCTACCAGACTACAAATCCTTCAGAGGATGATATTTCTATGACAATGTTTCGAATGATTCCGCTATTCCTATGTACAAAATAAGAGAATGGATCGAGAATTAACAATGAAGAAGACTCCCAAAAATTATACACGTCTACGAGTCTAAATACAGCGCTTTAATGACGCGACTCGGGACTCCTCATGACTCCCAAGGTTTCAAGGTATGAAACTTTCTTGTTGGTCACTACAGCCGGAAGCTTTTTTTCCTGCTTGGTTTCAACTTCTTGGCAAGTTTCGTCTGAAATTTCAAAAGAGTCCTTCTTTGCATCTGAGTCGGGTTGATCATCCCAACCCATGAAATCCAATAGTGTCATCGAACCGGACATGTCTACGTTGCCTTTCTCTGTCTCTTCTTTTGGAATAGGACTCGGCTTCGAAACTGATATTCTCTTTTTTCCTGGTGGATTTTGAGTGTTGTAATCGGCTTGAAGTACATCGTCTATTCTCGATAGTACCGTGAATGCCAAACTTTCCAATATCCTTGAATAACTTTCAAGAACGGCATGTCCCACATCCTGCAAACATATATAACATATCGTATTAGACGACCGTTTCAGGTAAACCTGACTAGATAAGCTCAGATGAATCAATCCAAACGATCTTTTCGTTGAATGTTCTTACCCTGTTGAATTGAATTTTGCTTATATCCAATGAAGATTGAGCAATGCCGGGGAATCGGTGCTTTAATAGAAGTAAGATGGTTTCTGCTCTCTCTTCAAAAAGCTCTCTTTTTTCCAAACTCACAGCAGAACCCCAAGTAGATTTGGTATCTTTTTGGTGCATTTTCCGCTTCCAAATCACTATTGAAGCTTCAATTCTATTCTTGAGATCTAGGACTTTATGTTCGGACGTCAAATCCACGGTCGATAGGAACTGATCAGGATCAAAAAATTCAACTGTAATGCTCCTATAGGCTGCATCCCCTAGACTCGCTCTTCCGTTCTGAAAAAAATAAAAACCCAAACCGTGTAAGAAAATAGTACGTATCGTAACCAAGTGGTTAACGAGTTTCAGTTAAAGACGGATCGATCAGGAGAACCCGAGTTGAACCCTGATAACTGAGGTCCGTTTCTCATGTGTCGCACCTTAGGAAGAGATTCAATATAGTTTTCAGGGATCTCCATTTCTGATAAAATTTGAGCATTTATCGCCATAGCGGCTTTAAGTACTTGATTCACACAATCTTTCTGATATTGTAAAAATTTTCGAGCTGCATCAGATAGACCATCTGCCGGAACCTTAGGTGTAGGTAACCACCATTTATCATCATTGGCTGTCTTTGCTTTGTCTTTATTATCTTCATCTGCATCCTTTGATACATAATAGAACTCAGTTTGATCTTTGAAGTTATCTAGACATTCCTGCTCGTCATCAACAGTTGTTCGAAATAATTATCGATCAATTCAAATCGTTAAGAAATTCAAGAGACAAAAAAATGTGTAGGTAAAGTTAGTAATCTTACGAAAAGCATTGTATCAAGCTTGCGTAAGGCTGGGATATTCATGTGGAGATCTGTTCGTTGTCGAGTCGTCATAATCTATTCATTTAAAAATAAGAACAAGTCATGATATGTTTCAATACCAGTGAATTATTGTAAAACTTTCAATCCAACCGTGAATTTTGTTATACTGGTTTGGTGTTGCGAGATGGAGAATTAATTACCTCCATTTGCGTGCCATCCTTATTTTTTTGTTGTGAAGGAACCATTTCGACGACGTAATCGGTTACGGATAGAAGCAAATCAATTTCTTTTCTCCACTTGGCTTTCCTTTCAACCGGCATTGGTTCTAGACGCTTTTGTTCACCAAAAATAGAAGCTGAGAAAATGAAAACAATACAACATTTCTGATATGAATCATTTTCTGAAACCCGAAAAAAAGTTACAAATATTTGTTCCTTGTGATCCAAGCAAGATCTATATACCTGCAAGGTTTGTGAAAGCATTTGACAGTGCCAAAGCAGATGAAACACCTTTTCCTCCACCAGACATGTCTTCACCTAATAACAGTTTAGCAAATCTCTCCTTCATCTGTTCCATTTCTGAATCAAAACCAACCATGATTATCAAAATTTATTATTAAAATAAACAACCATATTCATAATTTTATTGCAAACAAAGTCGTCTTTGAGGACGTGTTAGGCGGACTACTGCACATCTGGTGAATCGTGGCCCTGATTGCAAATATATAATTTGTGCAGACCTTGTAATAGTTTGTCTCTGGCTTCCTTCGCCGCGACTTCCTCCTTGCTTACAACCCTTGCCTTAGGAATTTTATCTGAATCAAGAGGCTTTGAACCTTGGCTTCTAGAAGAGGCAGAACCATCTTCAATAGGTTGTTGAAAATCCAATGTGGTGGCAGTGTCGACGCTCAAACTCTTAGTATGTCTCCCCGCATTGCCCTCAAACATCCCTCTGAAACTAAACAGTTTGGACCTGTAACTTTCTTGGTCTTGTTCCCCTGCTCTAACCATTTCTTTTGTTTTCCTAAAGAAAACTTTGGTTTTCAATGGATGAACAAGGAAGAACAAAACATGGGGTGTAAGAGACCCTCAAAGGGAGAAAGAAAGATAATGAAGATGAGAAAGGAGAAAAAGTATAGTAAGAAATGAAATTGTAGCTTTTTTTGTTTTGTTTTTTTAGTTTGACAAAAGGGTGGATGTGATTGTTTTTATGTGAACGTGGGGTGCATGTTGTAGAAGAAATTAAAAATTGTATTTTTTTTTAAATTATTATTTTAGTATTATGTTAGTTGAAATTTGCTTAGGGGAGAAAGTGGAAATTGAATGGTCAAAAGATGAGTTTCTAATAAAAGGTCAAAGGTAGCTAAAGACTAGGAAAGACAGACATGCACGCTTAGCCAATTACAAAGGAACATCATTGGATGGTTATACAAAGATATAGTTTGGCAAAAATATAAGAAAGGAGGGTTTGAAGTGTTGGATTAAGAAAAAAAATCATTATATGTTAATTATAAGAGTTATATAAATATAAATGTTGAAGTAAAGAGATAGGAGTGAAAGTGGACATGATGTTCATCCTACAATCTAGTGACAACGTTCATTTTTTCCACATTTGAGAGGTTTTTTCACTATAATTCGATTGATTTTAATTAATAAAATATTTTTAAATTTGAACTACTAAATTTTTAATTTCTAAATACAAAGAAACCGACGAGAAATTAATTTCTTTATCTTTTAAACAATTTAACTATGACTTGACCCTTTGAGATAAAGTGGTTGATGTTTACAACAAACTTTCACAAAGAATATAAACAATGTTTCTATGTTTCTAGCGTTTGGTATTTACATTTAACTCTCATAGAGAATCTAAATAATGTTTTTCTTTCTCAAAAGTCTTTTCTTTTTTTTATATAGAGTCTTTGATTTATAGAATTATTTAGAAAATATTTATTGAGATTAGATCTATTGGATACAAGTGTAATCATTGTTATAGAAATTTCACACAACACAACCTTGAACTAGTTGTAGAAATTATCGTGCATTATTTGTGTTGTACCTTGTATAATAACATGTGAGTTGTCTCTTCAATTGAATTTAATATTGTTTTATTAGAAAATAAAAAATGGATGCTTTAACTCTGCGTAAGAATTATAATTGAAGATAGTTGAATAATTGATCTTGAGCGGTGGTTTCGATCTCCTTTACGGTGGCGCAGGATGTGCATGTATATTGGAAATGGAGATAAGAGATTGCACTTTGCTCTTAGCATATGAACCGTTTTTATACTTTGGATTGAGTATAGTGGATTTGAGATGAATTGTGCCTTGGTCAATTGGATCTTTGGTTGGTCCAGAACAGTTGTCATAAGGTTTTATCGGGCACTAAAGGAGTCATAGAAAGTCTTAAGTATCATTGATCGACCTCCATGTTGTGGTCTGATGTGGAATGAAACTAAAATACTTAGGGATTTTTTTTTGAAAAGTAATGGGGAATATGAGCATTTAATATGGTCCCATCATTGAAACGCTTCGTCACTATTTTGTGAAACGTGTATTGACGCAACCAATTAGGATATGATGCACTTTACAAAGTACTTGAGTGCACTCAAGTTGGTGTGTATCCATGAGTCGAAATCTAGTCCTTGATCTTGTGATTTATTTTCATAGTTGGTCTTGATAATTAATTGTCGTTGCTTTATAAATAGGGTGAGTTCAGTATTTGGAAGTTTTTGCAACCTTTAGCTTTTAATCTTTACAATTATTTTTTCAGAAAAACGTCTTCGCTCATTTTTCCCTAAGAATATCACTAGAAGTGATTCAGTGCTTCCTTTAAAGCTTTCGCCTTCTTTCATTTCTCCTACTTCATCAATCTCACATAACCAGGTACCCTTCTAACTCAAACTTTACCTTCAACATTTCCTGTTTTCTAGTGAGGATGAATGATAATATTGTTAATTTAGTGAATGATTCTCAAAGTTGAAATTTCTTTTGCTTCCATAATGGGGATAATCCTCGATTTCCTTATCCTTTCTCTTAGTAACAATCACATAAGATTGGAAATCATAACCCTATCTAACAATTTTGGGTCAAAATGGGTGTATGCGAATTTCTTGGAGGAAGAAACTTCTTCTTTTATGTCGTTAGGCGCCCTTATATCAAGTGTTAGCAGAAGAATAAATCGTGTCGAGGTCTTTTTGCCACCTCCTATCTTGTTCAAAGAGGTGGTAAGAGCCAATTTGTAAAGGAGGGAATATGCTAGAGATTTCATTCAACTCCGTCTATGGACGGAAGGTTATGAGCCTACGATATTGATGTGTTGGACAACTTAAATCTTCGAAATCAGTCGGATGCACTGAAGTATGACTAGATAGGTGCAAAAGTAGCAGACACTTCCTCGGCTCTGAGCACTGAGGCCACGCTAAGAGATGGTGACATTTTGGTCGAAGATCCCTTGGAAGTGTTGGTCTTTCCAGTGTTAAGGGAAATAAAGATATTTAGTTCTTTTGATGACTACATGACCCCATTTCATGAATGCATGTTTACAAGAATAAGAGCTCGACTTCCTTTTTCTAAATTTGAGGTAACCGTCTTAAATTTTTTTAAATATTCTTCTTCCTAGCTTCATCTGGGGTCAGGGCATATATAAGGGTCTTCCAATTGTGCGCTAAGCACAAATCCTATTTCTCACTTATCTTGTTTTTCGATATTTTTTCATTTTAGGCGTACTTCTTTAGACAACTTTCGTAATTAGGGTATTATTTAATTTCATTTGATCAACCATTGGTTTGACCTCTTTACTTTGGACTGAGGTAACTTCCCGGGACACTTTTTTATTGGTGAATCCCCTCACCCTAATGGCCCACTCCATTTTTTATTATCTACCTGCTAATTATCGTAGCTTCTGTTAGGTTTCGTACCCAAGGTATTTGTTCGATCTCCATTTTAATCGGTCTGCTCACTCCTAATATACCAAGTTGGGTTCTATTTCTTCAGATGAGGTGAGGATGAAGGTGGAAATGCAATTCTGGTATCAAAGGCTTGGTTATGAGGAAGAGTTGTCCACTAGTGAGGTGCCTTCTACCAATGTGAGGAAAAGAGGAATTGATACTCATGTTATCTTGAGTGTAGTTAGCCAATAGGAGGGGAGGAAGATTTTTGGTGAGGCTAGAGTCCTTGTGCTTTTTTTTAACATTTGCGATTTCATTTTGTAGATAGCATGGACAAGATAAACAACTTGAACATATTCTACATCCTTGCAGATGCTTAAGGTATTCGAGTTCTGACTCCTTCTTCTACCCGACTGTAGAAGTTTTCACTTTTACATACAAGGTGGATCAACTTGCGGACGCAATGAATATTTTGATAATGGCAGAACACACCTCATATACGATTTCAACAAAGCGGGTCTGGGAGGAGGAATAACAATCTCCTCGAACTGAGTGTTCTCCAAAATAACCTTGTGTATATGAGGGTGTTGGTTCTAGAGAGATAACTTCATTACTGTGGAGGGGACCATTACTGTGTGAACATCGAATTTATCCTTTGTCCAGAATCTCCCAGAGGGAGATAAGATGGGACTAGCTTCTCAGCTTACTCATACCATGTTTAAAGTTTATTTTATCTTCTCTCTTGTCTCTGCTTGATGAGGAGATGTCTTGGCCTCGAGTAATCTCTCCTAAGAAAGGGATACTTGGAAAGGGAAGGCTGAAGCTATTAAGCTAAGGTGTACTAATCTCGAGAAGGAGCTTGTTACGCTTTGGGAGGAGGTTAAAGTTGCAAACTCTTTGCAATAGGCCGTGAAATTACATGGCTCCCTTTCTTCCTAAACGACTCGTGTGACCAAGCTAGATGGTTCTCTTTAGAAGGCAGAGAAGTGGTATAAGGATGCTTCTGATTCCATTGAGGAAAAGACTTTCCAGGTGGAAGAGCATCGAAAAGCCTTTCTTCATGATAATGGGACCCATGCAGAGGCCTTGAAAGCCCTTTAGGACGAGGTGGCCAATCTGAAACGGGTGAGTCATGAATCTCTTGAATGTACTATGCAAGATGTGCTCGAAGTCTGTGAGGGATTTGTGGAGCAGGTGAAGAAGTTATGCCCTAATGCTCTAATTTATGCTGAGGTGTTAGATCTGCTCAAGTCCGCTCTAGGGGTGGCTCATACAGGTGGTCTCGGGGCCTCGGTTTCTGATGGTTAAGCTTTATTTTTCTTTACTTGTACTAGTATTTATTCCTTGCAATACTTCCCAGGCTTTTGTGCCTTGGGTATAATAATTTTTGATATTTTAATAAAATCTTTTACCTTGATGCTTCAAGTATTGTTTGATTTAAAGCCTCACCCATGTCTTTGCTTTATCATTAGTGTTGTTTACGAATTATTATAAATCCATGCTTGCTCGTTTACTCTATGAAGTCTTTATTCACTTTAGAGTTTAGGTCGGACAATCGTCGATCATCTATTATGGCAGAATGTGTGTTTTGGGCATGAAAGCCTCTACTGTTTGCTTTATGAAAGAAACAACATATTTAATTGGTATGAATTGATTGGTATGCCTATGGAATTTTATTTCTCTTTTCAACTTGGTGCATTGAATGATGTTAGCTACCATTTTATGTTGCTATATGTGTTTGTTGTATTTAGTGTTTGTTGTAATAGTGTACTAATTTGCATGTCGTATTTGGCGAATTGCTTACTGAAGGTTCAGGAAACATAAGAAATGAGGGATTGAGTTGGGTTTCAAATATGACCGATTTTTGCAACCAAAAGACAATAACAACAATGATAAAAATGACAAGATATTTTTATCCTGGTTCACTATTAACTAGGTTAGTTTAGTCCACTCGCCAGGGTAATTTTTCCTTCTTAATATGACTTAATCCAATAATCAAACTGATTATAATCTCGAAAGCTAACCATAAGTGATTTCTCAAGGATTCTGAATAAATTCAGTCCCTTAAGGAATTACAACTCAAAGACTATTCATCAATGACTTCTTGAGGCTACAGACTAAAACT